TTGCCTACCGAACCCACAGTTGACCTCCCGAGCCAGGCTGGTTACCAGAAAACATTGCGCCAAGAAACACCGAGTCGTAGAGCAGAACAGGTTTGGTTGGCGAGAGTCCCAACCACACCCTCCTGAAGGAACAAGGGCTCAAAATGTGCACAGTTTGCTTTCTTCGGTAATTCAGGTCGTGTGATTTCCATAGTACGCAAAGCGATTAGAGTATGCGAAGAGATAGAATAAAACGCCACTACAGCATAGGCCATGAGCATTTTCACTTTTATTCCTAGCTCTTTCCCAAACATCGCATTTGGACCTATCGCCTTCCGCGTCCCCCACGCTTCTCCCCACCGTCTCTCACACACCTCCCCACGCACACGCCCACTCTTCCCACCGTCGCCCAAGCTTTCCCCCACCGTCGCTCACGCTTCCCCTTATCGCCGCTCACGCTTCCTCCGGCCTTCCCCCACACCGTCGCTCACGCCTTTCCCCACCTTCCCTCACGTTTCCCCTCTCATCGCCCACGATTCCTCCCACCATCGCCCACGCTTCGGAGCACCGTCACCCACGCTTTCCCCACCGTCGCCCACGCTTCCCCCGACCGTCGCCCACGCTTCCCCCCACCGTCGCCCACACTTCCCCCCACCGTCGCCCACGCTTCCCTCCACCGTCGCCCACGCTTCCCCCCACCGTCGCCCTCGCTTCCCCCCACCGTCGCCCACGCTTCCCCCCACCGTCACCCACGCTTCCCCCCACCGTCGCCCACGCTTCCCCCCACCGTCGCCCACGCTTCCCCCCACCGTCGCCCACGCTTCCCCCCACTGTCGCCCACGCTTCCCCCCACCGTCGCCCACGCTTCTCCCCACCGTCGCCCACCGCCACCGTCGCCCACCGCCACCGTCGCCCACCGCCACTGTCGCCCACGCTTGCCCTCCCATCGTCCTCGCTTAGCCTTCCCGCCGACCTCCCTTCTCTCCTCCTCTCTCCACGTCGTCATCACTCCCCTGCCCATCACGTTCCCCCTATTCACCATCGCTTCTATACCCATGCCGCCCACCCTCTCATCCCTTCCCATCGCGTGGGGTGTGGGAGGGTGCGTGGTCAGCAGCACCCTTCCGTCGCATACACGTTCATTCATTACCCCTTCCCTCATCTCCCCATTCCTCATCTCCCCATTCCTCATCTCCCCTTCCCTCATCTCCCCATCCCTCACCTCCTCATCCCTCACCTCCCCATCCCTCTCCTCCCCAGCCCTCTCCTCCCCATCCCACACCTCCCCATCCCTCATCTCCTCATCCCTCATCTCCCCATCCCTCATCTCCCCAATCCGCCTCACCCCATTCCGCCCCGCCCCACCCCATTCCGCCCCACCCCTTTCTGCCCCACTCCATTCCGCCCCACCCCTTTCTGGCCCACCCCATTCCGCCCCACCCCAGCCTCCTCCCCAGCCTCCTCCCCACCCTCCTCCCCACCCTCCTCCCCACCCTCCTCCCCACCCTCCTCCCCACCCTCCTCCCCACCCTCCTCCCCACCCTCCTCCTCACCCTCCTCCCCACCCTCCTCCCCACCCTCCTCCCCACCCTCCTCCCCACCCTCCTCCCCAGCCTCTCTTCCTCCCCTCCCTTCTGCTTCTCCCCCAAGCGTCCTCCCTACCTCCCTTCCTCCCATCATCACTTCCTCCCTTCCTTCATTCCTGCATTCCTCACTTCCTCCCTTCCTCCGTTCCTCCCTTCCTCATGTGCCAGTTGTCATTCCCTTATACTTCAGCCACGTCACATCTGACTTCTTGATTTGTGTTTGGACAGGTCTGCTCTGCATCTGGTTGTGCATGTGCTAGCTGTCTGATAGTAACACACGTATAGCCATGCCATATATTGGATTCTTTTTTTATAATACAGGATTATGAGCCTCAGAGCAATCATACACATGACCAATACCAAGGAGTTCAACAATTAATATATTACCGTATCTGTAAAGTAAGGGGAATCACCAGACTCGAGAAGGGAACAAAGCTAGGGGGTGTATGTGTAATGTTGTTTTCCGGTTTTGTCTGCTACACTGCAAGCAATAAACCAGGCTGTGGTAAAGCCACATCTGGTGCTGAGCACCTGTAACTGCATTGGGGGGTATGGGGGTGAGTGAAGGGGGAAAGACAGTAAACGGAATGAGCAGACGGGAAGAGAAGAAGCAGCAGGGGACAGATTGAACAGAGGGGAAGAGAGGAAGCAGGGGGGAACAGAGTGAGCAGAAGTAAAGAGAGTGAGCAAGGGGGAAGAGAGTGAGCAGAGAAGAAGGGGAGGGAGCAAGGGTGAAACAGAGGGAGCAGGGGTGAGCAGGGAAGGCGATAGGGGGAAGCAGGGAAGGAGATAGGGGGAAGCAGGGAAGGGGATGGGGGGGAGCAGGGAAGGGGATGGGGGTGAGCAGGGAAGCGGATGGGGGGATGCCCGGAGGGGGACGGGGGAAGGAGGGAAGGGGACGGGGGGAAGCAAGGAAGGGGAAGGGGGAAAGCAGGGAAGGGGATGGGGGGGAGCAGGGAAGGGGTTGGGGGGAAGCAGGGAAGGGGATGGGGGGAGCAAGTCAGAGGATGGGGGGAAGCAGCGCAGGGGATACGAGGAAACAGGGAAGAAGGGAAGGGTGTATGTGCGGGTTGGAAAGGGGGCGTAACAAGTGTGCGAGATGGGAAGGGAGAAGGGAGGGATGGCGAGGGCAACGAGGAGTGGAAGGGAGGGCGACGGGGAAAACGAGGGCGACGGGGGGAGAGAGAGACGGGGATTGCGAGGGGACGAGCGCAAGACGAAGGGGGGCAACGGGCGGAAGGGAGGGAAAGAGAGCGTGAAGGGGGAAAGAGAGTGAGAAGGGGGGAAAGAGAGTGAGCAAGGGGAAAGAGAGTGAGCAAGGGGGGAAGAGAGTGAGCAGAGGGGGAGAGAGTGAGTATAGGCGTGAGTTGGGAAAACAGGGGCGAGCAGAGGGGGTAAGAGAGCGTGAAGGGGGAAAATGGGTGAGAAATGGGGAAAGTGGGGTTAGAACAAGGGGAGTGAGCAGAGGGAAAGAGAATGAGGTGGGGGGAAGCAAGTGAGCAGGGGGAAAGAGATTGAGGAGGGGGGAAGCGAGTAAGCACGGGGGAAGAGAGTGAGCCGGGGGGAAGAGAGTGAGCAGGGGGGAAGAGAGTGAGCAGAGGGGAAAAGAGTGAGCAAGGGGAAAGAGAGTGAGCAGGGGGGAAGAGATTGAGGAGGGGGGAAGCGAGTGAGCAAGGGGGAAGAGAGTGAGCAGGGGGGAAGAGAGTGAGCAGGGGGAAAGAGAGTGAGCAGGGGGGAAGAGAGTGAGCAGGGGGAAAGAGATTGAGCAGGAGAGAGTGAAAGGCAATGGGAGGGGAAGTGAAGGTGACGGGTGGGGAAGCGAGTGTGACGGGAGGGGGAAGTGAAGGCGACGGGAGGGGGAAGTGAAGGCGACGGGAGGGGGAAGTGAAGGCGACGGGAGGGGGAAGTGAAGGCGACGGGAGGGGGAAATGAAGGCAACGGGAGGGGGAAATGAAGGCGACGGGAGGGGGAATTGAAGGCGACGGGAGGGGGAAATGAAGGCGTCGGGAGGGGGAAGTGAAGGCGACGGGAGGGGGAAATGAAGGCAACGAAAGAGGGGGGGAGTGAAGGCGACGGGGGAGAAGTGAAGGCAACGGGGGAGAAGTGAAGGCGACGGGCGGAGCGAAGGCGACGGGCACGCGACGAGCTGCGGAAGCGATGGCGACGACGCGGGCGAAAGAGAGCGGAAGCGTAGGAAAGGAAAGCGAGGGCGAGGGGAGGGTCACGTTTGGGCGAACGGTTGCGATTCGATTTTCGCCACGAGTTTACGCTACGGAGTAGTTGCACAATAACCTGCATTTCGACACAATAATCTTCACCCAACGCAAACTAGCTTTGCGCGTCATCATTGCAAATCCGCGCCACCCAAATCATATGGCGCATCTACTCCCTTTTGAGTGAACGCCGACGCCCTGCCCTGTCTACAGGTATGGTCTATGCCTAATACTCTGCGTGCTATCCCAAACTGTGCAGAGTTTGATAAGCTCGCGCTTTTCTGGTTGTGGGAAGGGCACCAACCATCATGGGAAGCGAGAAACTTTTGTCGCAAATTGGTTTCGCGATTGAAAATCTCTCGCAACCCAACCGAACCTCTCCGTGCCTGCCTCCCGAACCTAGTTTTTAGCTTGGGTCTTGAGTAATTCAGGTCTTGGGCTTTAAATAAAACTAAATCTGGGGAGCGCGTACCGCTCGCGATAGAAGGTGGATGGTACGCGATGAAAAAAATTCGGGTTGTGTAGAAATTTGAGCGCGATGAAAAAAATTCGCGAGGGCAAAGCCCGCGCCGCGGCAATTCTCTCAGTATTTCCTGAGAACCTCGACGCGCTTCGTCAGAAGTTTGAGCTCTACCTGCGGTATGAGGCCGCTTATATATACGGACCCTTCTCGTTTAGTGCGTCGTGAACCCAACATGTCGTGAGCCGTCACGGGCTATCATTATTCATGTGGCGTGAATGTCCATTGTACCCTGGTTTATTGCTCCCTGTCCACTCCATAGCACTGACAGGGCGCGTGGTCCCCTCGTTTGGTCCCCTAATTCTGGTACATGCATCGCGTCGTCTTGGAAGAGACTCGCTGTTTTAGTCTGGCCGTGCCAAGAGCAGTTTCCCTGCTTTTATTTGATCCTCGCCAATATAGTCTGCATCACTTCACTCATTAATCAGGTGGACGCGATAGCAGCACGACATGATTCTTCATAAGGTGGCACCTCGTGGCTGGTCAGTCGAATTTGTTGTAAATAGAGTATGGACCGGTGGACGAGCCTGGAAGGAAGGATCCAGGAACCTTCTGTTCACAGCACCTGCAGGAGTGATGCGTGATGCCAGCTTGACGCGGCAACGGCACGTGCTGACGTGTCTACGACTGATGCCTGATCAGGGGCCGCGTTCCAGCCAAGGAGAATTGAGGAATGCACGCTCAGGCGCAGACGCTGAGCTTATGACACGTGGCACAACGCCAATATTTCCAGTCCTCCACATGTTCCCCTCATGTGACTTACCATTGAAGCGTGCGTATGGGAGCGGGAAAGCGATGCGGCAGGAGCAGAAGAGCAGCAGGAAATATGTACATGTTAAAGCGTTTCATCGCGTGTCAACTGGTGACGTCACGAATTCGCTGTTCCACGTCAGCAGCAACAGCCCTGACGTGTGGTGGTCCCTCCCTGACGGCATCTCTGAGAGACTGCCATTGCCTCCCGGACGCTGGCAGAAAATAGAGGTGCGCCGGGAGGGTTGGGAGATTGGGGAGGTGCGGGTGGGGTGGGGGTACCTGTTGAGCGGAAAGAGAGAGTACATACTGGAAGAGGACATTTGAGGCGTTACTAAGAGATCGGTGTTGTTTGGAAAGAAAAAAGTGGTAGTTATGGCACTAACTTTTCCTTGATTGAGTTAGGAGGCTCCTCGCACCCTCCATCTCCTGACCTGTTGTGTTGTGTTCCCATGGTTTGTGAAGCCCCCTCCCTAACCACCATGCTCACTCGGATCCCCAGGTGTTCCCTGTTCTGCTCTCACTCTCCCTTTCACCCACTGCCTCTTGCAACCCCTCCCTCCCTTGCTGTCGCTCGCTCTCGGTGTTGCTGCTATCCGTCCTGTCAGGAGCTATCAAATCGGATGGGGGTCCACTTGTCCCCTGACCTGCTGCTGCGATGCCTGGTCAGTGCTGCTGCCATGCCTTCACACACATACAACTGCCATGCCTCGTCAGTACTGCTGCCATAGAACTGCGTGTTTATGCCTGGCGTATGGAGCTCAGCTATCCTTGGCTTGTTCTCGCTATCCTGTTCTTGTTTTACCTCCCTCCATCCCGCCAGACCCAGGACATCTACCACTAGGTGCTCTCATGCCTGGAGTTAGGATCTCAGAACTGAACCCCTTCTTGCTTCATCCCATTCGTCTCGACCCTCTCCCCTTCTCTCTCTTCTCATCGCTCTCCCCTTCTCTCTCTTCTCATCGCTCTCCCCTTCCCTCTCTTCTCATCGCTCTCCCCTTCTCTCTCTTCTCCTCACTCTCCCCTTCTCTCTCTTCTCATCGCTCTCCCCTTCCCTCTCTTCTCATCGCTCTCCCCTTCCCTCTCTTCTCATCGCTCTCCCCTTCCCTCTCTTCTCATCGCTCTCCCCTTCCCTCTCTTCTCATCGCTCTCCCCTTCTCTCTCTTCTCATCGCTCTCCCCTTCCCTCTCTTCTCATCGCTCTCCCCTTCTCTCTCTTCTCATCGCTCTCCCCTTCTCTCTCTTCTCATCGCTCTCCCCTTCCCTCTCTTCTCATCGCTCTCCCCTTCCCTCTCTTCTCATCGCTCTCCCCTTCCCTCTCTTCTCATCGCTCTCCCCTTCTCTCTCTTCTCATCGCTCTCCCCTTCCCTCTCTTCTCATCGCTCTCCCCTTCCCTCTCTTCTCATCGCTCTCCCCTTCCCTCTCTTCTCATCGCTCTCCCCTTCCCTCTCTTCTCATCGCTCTCCCCTTCCCTCTCTTCTCATCGCTCTCCCCTTCCCTCTCTTCTCATCGCTCTCCCCTTCCCTCTCTTCTCATCGCTCTCCCCTTCCCTCTCTTCTCATCGCTCTTCCCATCCCACCAGACCCAGGACATGTACTACTACGTGCTCATGCCGGGAGCATAGGAGCTCAAATCGCAACCCCTTTCCCCAGTTCGCCATTCCTGAATCACCTCTGCACACTTCTCCCCGTCCCCCCAGACCCAGGACATGTACTACTATGTGCTCATGCCGGGTGCTCATCGCACTCTTCACACCAATGAGCCTCTGAATCAACAGCAGAACGATGGCTGGGAGGACGAAGGCAGCAGGACCACTCTGTCTGACCCTCTCCCTTGCCCCTCCCTTCCCTCTCACCATCCGCAGACCCAGGACATGTACTACTATGTGCTCATGCCGGGTGCTCAGTGCACTCTTCACTCCAATGAGCCTCACAATCCGCCTCTCAATCCGCAGCAAAAGGACGGCAGGGAGGACGCAGGCAGCAAGAGCAGTCCGTCTGGTCCTCGTGGGTTGACTGACGAGCCGATTACATATTTCACAGCTCACAGCCGGGTCAGGCAGGGTAAAGGCGGGGTGGGGGAAGGATGAAGGTTGGGGGGATGAGGGGAAGGCAAAGGGGGGTAAAGAGAAGGCAAAAGGGGGTTAAGGGAGGGGAAAGGGGGAGGTTGAGGAGGGGATGGTATGTTGCACCTTCTCCCCTTGTCTCCTTTGAAAAATACCCTCTCGTGTATCTTCCTCCCCTACCTGCCTTCTCGTGGGTGCGCATCCTCTACCTACGCTCTACCCTCACTCCCCTCCCCCTTACCCTCCCTCCTTATCCCAAGCTTATCGTGGCTATTTTTCTGAAAGTCCACCGTCTGCCAGTGGTTTCTCGAGACGTCTTTGAGACGTCTTTTCAGACGTCTCGAAAGTCCGCCGTCTGCCAGTGTTTCTAGCAGGCGTTGCACCCACTGTTTCTGTCCTCCGCCCTCCTTGCTCTCATATCATCGCCCACCTGTTTCTGCTGCCCTCGTCTCCTCCCGTTCCCTTCCACGCATCCCTGCCACTAACACGGTCGAAGTCCGCTCGGCAACAACTCCTCTCATCTCCTCCCCCACGCCTCCCTCAATCTCACCTGTGCTGGCGCTCACAAGCTATATGACCTGTGGCGCTCACTTAACTAGAGACTAGGACCGCTAGATGCATGCAGCTCCTCTCGTCCATTCCCCGCTACTCCCCCTTGCTCCCACAACCCCCCACAGCTGCGGGCACATCTGTTACTTCCTGATCCCTCAGTTCCTTTCTTCACCCTCCCCCTCCCTTTCGCTCTCTCAATCCCTCACAGCTGCGGTCACATCTGGAGGCAGTGGGGGATTCAGTGCTGGCGCTCACGTGTGTGCTGCACCTCGTGCGCCAGCACCCGCCGCTGTCCATTGTGTGTGGAGGGGGGGAGGGGAAGGGAAAGGGGGGAAGGGGGGGGGGGGGGTGGGGGGGGTGGGTGGGTATTTGTGTGTGTGTGTGTGTGTATTTGTGTGTGTGTGTGTGTGGGGAAAGGGGGGGGGGGGGGAGGATGCGTGCGTGCGTGTGCTTGGTGTGTCTATGTGGTGCGTCCCATTCAGTGCACCATGTACTGCTCTCCTGCTCCGCTCGTCTCCTCTCTCGTCTTGTCTCGTCTCCTCTTGTCTTGTCTCGACTCCTCTCGTCTCTTCTCACGTCGTACTTTCATCTCGTGCTATTTGGAAGCGGACTGACTTCTTTCCTCACTCTCTTCCTTGTTCCTATCCCATCCCCGGCCCACGCTATGCTTACCAGGGCGATCTCACATCACGGAAAGGCAAGCTTGTAAGACCCTCTATTCCATTCCCTCCCTTCAAGCCCCTCCCTCCCTCCTCAATCCCCTCTCCCCCTCGCTTCAATCACCTTTCTTGGATTCACTCTCGACGATTCCGTCTCATCAATCCCCGCTCGCCATGTCCCCTTTCTGCGTCCATGCATACTTGCACATCTTCCCTCGCCTTCTTGCCTCCCTTGCTCCTACCCTTCATCCTCCCTCCCTCCCTCCCTCCCTCCCTCCCTCCCTCCCTCCCTCCCTCCCTCCCTCCCTCCCTCCCTCCCTCCCTCCCTCCCTCCCTCCCTCCCTCCCTCCCTCCCTCCCTCCCCTCCCTCCCTCCCTGTCTCCCCCCAGCCTCCACTCGCCCTTCATATCATGCTCACCATTCTCCCTCCCCGCATTCCTTTCTCAGACCATTCCACCTTGGCATCTCCATCTCTCTCAAACTCTCCACCCCTCTGCGCTCTCCTTTAACGCATCAGGCGAGTTCCCAGAGGGCATGTGTGCATGGCATCTGAATTCCCCCTCTATTCCTCTTTCCCCATCTTGTCCCCCCTTCCCTTTCCTGCCCCCTTTCCCTCTCCTGTCCCCATCCCGTCCTCCTGCTCTCCTTCCCCTTTCCGACCCTCTTTCCACTCCTGCCCCTCATACCCTTCATTACCCCCATCTTTTTCACTCTCCCGTCCCTATTCCCCCTTCTGTTTCCCTTCCCCCGCCAGGTCCCATTCACAGACCGCCACTAGTGCAGAGATAATCTCTAATGTGACTCTCATATTGTCCTGTTTCCCTCCCCCACCCTCTCCCCCTCCGTCCTGTCCTCGCCCCCCTACCCCGTTTTCCCATTCCCCCACCCTGTCGCTCTTCCCCCCCCCCACACTGCAACAGGTGAGCAACAGGAGTCTGGCGGGCATAGGAGGGGGGGCTTTTGAGGCGCCTCAAAACTCTTCCCCCCCCCCACACTGCACCAGGTGAGCAACAGAAGTCTGGCGGGCATTGGAAGGGGGGCTCTGGGCCTGCCAGGAGTCATGCTGAGCTTCTCAGACGCGCTGCTCATGCAGGGCAAACGCGCCGTGCCCAAGGGGGGGGATACTGTGGAGGTATGCTAGGGGGTGATACGGTGGAGGTATGCTAGGGGGTGATACGGTGGAGGTATGCTAGGGGGTGCGGGAGCGGGTGTGGGAGCGGGTGCGGGAGCGGGTGCGGGTGCGGGTGCGGGTGCGGGTGTGGGTGTGGGTGCGGGTGCGGGAATGTGAATTGTTTTCAGATCATGCCACCGTGTCTACCATGTGATGGTACCATGAGAGGGGACTGTTTGGTGTTGTATGGTGTTACTCTGGTGTGGTGGTAACCGTGCAATCAAGCAGAGGTGCCTTAGAGAACAACACATCTTCTTTTCCTTACTTCTTCTGAGGCGCCTCAAAAGTCCCTTGCTTCAGACTGCTTTTCTGCTGTGTGTCTGTGTGTGATCCCATCTTCTTCCCGTTACTGCAGTCCTCGTTAGTTGCCTGCACAATGGAGGCACTTGTTGGTGCTGTTTACGCAGAGAAGGTACACACACCCTCACACTACCCTCGCACCCTCACACACTGCCCTCACACACCACCCGCACACACCACCCCCACACACCACCCGCACACACCACCCGCACACACCGCCCTCACAGAAATAACTCTAAGCTGGCAGCACGTCGTTCTGATCACCACTGCTGGTACCGCATCATCAGGAGGTCGGCTGTTTCATTTGCCATCATCAAAACCCATGTCGCACCACCCCAACACCACCCTTACCACCCTCACAGCAAGAAATCCACCAAGGCAGCACCGCTTACCTCTAAAATAGCATTGTTTGCTTTTCACCTCCGCTGATAGTGCATCTTCAGGGGTTCAGCCATTTCATTTCACTAACTCATTTGCTCCCACACCACCCAAAACCCCCGTTCAATCAACTTATTGCATGCCTGCCTGTCACTCGCACAATTAATCTACCCACTCAACACACATGCCCTATCCATCCCCATCCCTAATCAGCCCCCTCCCACTCCCTATCCCCCTCCCCCTCCCCCTCCCCCTCCCCATCCCCTTCCCCCTCCTTTAACCTCCCCATCCCAATCCCCCTGTCTCCCCCCGCCTCCCCGCCCCCTTCCCCCCATCCCCTCCCCCCTCCCTGTCCCATTTTCCCCGCCCCCTTCCCCCCATCCCCTTCCACCTCCCTGTCCCATTCTCCCCGTCTCCTTCCCCCGATCCCCTTGCTCCTCCCTATCCCATTCCCCCTGTCCCCTTCCCCGCATCAGGGCCTGGAAGCAGCGTCAGCCTTTATGACCCGCCTGCTGCCCTCCCTTGTCGACTCCCGCACTGCTGCTCCTCACACACAGAGGCTGGAGTTTGGGCGTCAGTATGAACAAGAATCCGGGCATGTGCATGGGCATGAGCATGGGCATGAGCATGGGCATGAGCATGAGCATGGGCATGAGCAACAGCAGCAGCAGCAGATTCAGCCAGACAGAGAGAGCAATGTGAAAGTGGGCGATGCAGCAGCAGTGAGGAGAGTGGACTCTCCAGCAGAACAGAGTGACCCGGTGGCTCGTCTGCACGACATGTCCCTCCAGCAACTGGGACTCACACCGCAGTACCGGTACGTGTGAGGGTGGGAGGGCGATGCAGCAGCAGTGAGGAGAGTGGACTCTCCAGCAGAACAGAGTGACCCGGTGGCTCGATTGTACGACATGTGTCTCCGGCACCTGGGTTTCGTCCCTCAGTACTGGTACGTGTGAGTTTAAACGTGTGGGTTTAAACATGTGCGTTTAAACGTGTACGTGTGAGTTTAAACGTGTGAGTTTATTGAGTTTGTAAACGTGTGAGTTTAAACATGTGCGTTAAACGTGTGAGTTTAAACATGTGCGTTAAACGTGTGAGTTTAAACATGTGAGTTAAACTTGTGAGTTAAACGTGTGAGTTTAAACACCACCGAGGTGGAAAGGGTCCAGCGGGGCACTCCGGGTCACATCTTCACTGCAGTGACTTGTGAGTCAACTTAGAAGCCACGACGAGTCAAGAATCGAGGGCCTTCACATCACAGCCGTAAGTGCACCTCTCTCTGTCTGCTGCAATGCACCTTCCTGCTATGCACATCACATCCACTGCTCTGTGCATGTGATGATATGGCAAAGGGCTCAAGGGTTGCTTGTGGGATGCGTCAAAGGTCAAGGCTCACGATTGGCTGCTCATTTCCCCTCGACATGCCCTCTCACTGTCTCTCAGGCAGAGGTGTTTGAGGAGCATTCTCCCTTCACGTCCTTTTACCCCGCGCCCCCTCAACCCTGCACCCCCTTGCCACGTCGCCCTTGCCACGTCGCCCTTGCCACGTCACCCTTGCCACGTCGCCCTTGCCACGTCGCCCTTGCACCCCCGCACCCCCTCGCTGTGCGAACACATCACTAATGACGAGCAGGCACACGAGCGCCCCATGTGACGGAGAGAGTGTGAGTGTATGTGGCGTGCAGGATCATGGGCACAGGCATGGGCTTGTCTCTGCTCAAAAATACTCATTCCTCTGTCAAGCCCTCTCCCTGTCTCTCAGTCAGTAGTGTTTGAGCCACCCAAACCCCCCCTCCCCATCCCTGGTCGCCCCCCTGTGAACACACCTCGTTCATGGCAAGCAGGCATACAGGGCGGACAATTCGGGACGGCCCAGGTGACAGAGAGAGCGAGTGTATGCAGCAGGGAGGAAGATGGGCACGAGCATGGGGGCCATCCTGCTCCAATACATTCATTCCTCCTTTCCCCTTCCACCTCTCACCATGTGAGCACAGGCACACAGGGACAGACAACCCACAGACGCCCCACGTGACAGAGAGGGTGCGAGTGTATGCAGCAGGGAGGAGGATGGGCACGGGCATGGGCCCGACAGTGGCAGAGGCAAAACGAGATGGAGCAGCCAAGGCTCTGCTGGCATGGGGTAAGGTGTTTGGGGAGGGAGGGAGTGAGGGGGCAGGACGCGAGGCGAGTGAGAATGCTGAGGAAAGGATCAAGTGAGGACGGTACTACCTTACCCTAATCGATCTCATCTTGTGGTGATTCCGGAACTGTATGATGTGGTTGTTCCGGAGTTTGGTTGGTTTTTTGGGCGCAGCTCATGGAATGCCTAATCCAGAGCATGCGGCGCTGCAACTGTGTTTATTGGGTGATTTGGTATCCGAGCCTGAGATTGATCACAAGTTGAGTTGAGGGAGGATGGGTGAAATGAGAGACTGGAGGTTGCAAGACGTGTAGGATTGAAGGCCTTAGCGTAAGATGGAAGCTATAAGATGGAAAGCTGCTTTCACACAACAGGCAAGGGTATGAAAACGAATCAAACTAGAGCAAAACACATGGATAGCGTTAAAACTATCAAGCCTGCTATTCATGTCACGCTTACAATCGCAGCTCAGGTCAGGGCCAGCGCTTTCACTCCCTCGCCAATCCAGTCCAGCAGTGCTTGTTCATGAATCCCGCAATTGGCCACTCTGGCTAGAAGTATTGCAATGCAAGAGAATGCGATACATGCAAGAGAGTGCGTTACAGGCCGCCAAACACCATGTCCTCTGCAGTGACCACCGCCCTCCCTCGCACGCGAAATGGTACGTGTCCGCGGCTCTTCTCCTGTACCTCGACTGCTGGATAGCACCCACCAAACTGCTGCCCCATCTGCTGGTTGCTGCTGCTAATGCTGCTGATGTTGCTGTTACTGCTGCGGATGCTGATGCTGCTGTTAGCGCTGCCATTGCTTCTTCCGAATCTCCTGACTGGTGTGCTGCTGACTGATTCTAGCACTTCGCAGAAGGCCTGGTGATTCTGCTTAGCATCCGCAGCAGCTCCTGCGCTGCTGTTGCAGTTGAACCAATGCTTGCCAGCCTTGTTGAGATCGCCAGTCCACGACTCCAGGTTAGCACAGCGACTCGTAGCACACCAGCAACGATGCATCAGGTGGGAAGAGCAGCTCTCCTGGGCGGCAGCAGACGTGAATGTGTATGCGGCGGCGGCGGAGGCGGCGGGGTCGATTTGTCTTGGATTTTCTGGGACAGAGTTGGTGTTTTTTTGTCCTGGGCGGCTGTGGCCTCTGGTTGCGCGGGAAGAGCAGCGTGGTGAGTCAGCAGATGGGGATGGTGGGGGGAGTGGGGATGGGGATGGGGTATGCGTAGCAGCAGATATGAAGGGTGGGAGGGAGTGTGCGTGGTTTAGCGAGTGAGGGGAGTGTGTAGCAGAGGCAGTCGTAGGGTGACCGCCGTCCCCACAGTAGGCGCAGGGAGTGTGGTAGAAGGAGGATGAGGGGAAAGGGGACAGGAATTCTGGGTCTTGTACGCCTGCTGTGCAAGCTGAGAGCACTGACAGTGAACCCGAGAATTCTGAGAGCGTAGAGAGTGCACCAGATGATGCTGAAAACGCTGAAAGTGGGCCAGAGAATGCTGAGAGCGTTGAGAGCGAATCATCTGACGGTGCAGCAGTAGTCACTGAAATTGTCTCAATTTCAGCAGAAATCCCAGCGTCGCCACGACCGGAAAAAGGGGTCCCATGGTTATGTGGAGCCGGGAGCGCCAGGGGCGGCTGGAGGAAGTAAACGTGGCCGGGCTTTAAGACGTGCTGCGGACGCAGGAAGCCGTGCGTTGACGCGTTCAGCGACCCCACCTGGCAGCCCGGGTGTTCCTGAAGCACATCGCTCACACGCGTGGCCCTGCGATTCGGAGCATGATTTCCGCGGGGTATTGAATTGCCAGACAATGAAATGCCAAAGCATGAATCGTCGGGAGTTGAATTGACGCCCGTCAGAGTCGAAACGCGAAATGATGGGTTTCGGGCGCCATTGCTAGTGTTCTTCCTTCCCACAGTGAGGGTGCGAGTCTGACTCCCAGTCTGGCTGTGTGAGGAGGACGGCGTCTTGGCCTCCTGCGACGGACATATTGGGACGATTTTGACGGAGCCGTCCGGAAGCAGCAGAAGCGCCGGCTCGACGCACGGGCCGTCACGGCCCTTTGAGGGCTCCTGGCGCTGCGGCGTGCTTCGCGCGCCGCTGCTCGGCGCGCCGCGACTGGCGCTCAGCACGTCGCGCGTCAGCCGTGACCATCTGGCGGAGAATTTCGTCGCGAGAGGCCGCGGCTCCGCGCTCACGCCCGAGGACGAGACCAAGGCTCGTAGTTCCCCCTCCGAAGCTGTCGCGAAGGTGGAATTGGCGAAATTTGACGAAGACGACGGGGCCAACTTGGTGTCGTCGCGTGCGCACATGGCGGCCACTTCGAAGCAACAGGACTGTCTAGAATATCCGAACTTTCCTGAAACGGAAAAATCGACTCGATTTCGGAAGAATTGTAAGGGTTTGCTACGGGAGGAAGAAGCTCGGAGCTTGAGTCAGGCTCGGAGCTTTATAACGCCGAGCAGGCGTTACAAACTTGACTCAAGTTTCCTCGGAGCAAGCACAGAAGCCTCCACCCTGAGGGTGGCGTACATAGAAAACCTTCGCGGCTGCATAGGCCGGTCTCCTTCCTCCTAGCTGCATTCCATTCCATTCCTACTGACAGCCGGCTGTCAGAGCGAATGATGCTACAGCCTCGGTTAACGGCTCGGTTGGAGTCCGAGGCATGGTAATGGTGGTTTGGGGTCGCGGCTTTTGGGAGAGGAGGTTAGGTTACGTGCTGCAAGCTGGTTTGGCGTGCCGATTCGTGCACGAGCCCAGACTACAGCCGGCAGGCAGCATATAAACGCTCCAGCAGAGTGAGTACACTACGTCACGTATTGCGGATGTTGCGCATTAGCGAGGGGTATATGGTTAATATTCACACTCCAGGGTATACTAGGAGGGTGTTTAGACCATCGCTAGTTTGCGTGCATTTTCAGGGGCTTGGTCGATGCCATTACAGGTATCTGCCAAACCAAGCAATCACATCCATTCCAGACGACTCGCATACTAATAACAATGATTTAGGTGTACTCTACTCCTGCTGCACCATCACCTTCCCCATCACCACCATCACCATCCATTCCGCCCAACTTCCTCCAAGGGGTTTGTGCTAACCACCTCATCTGTCCGCCATTTATGGGATGGAGTGGAGTGCGAGTGGAACAGAAATCGTTGAGGGGAAACTGTCACTGTTAACCTGTCTGCCACAACGAAGCATAACGTTCAAAACGAGTCCAGCCAAAGTGCGTTGGAAAGCACGCTACAGTAGAAATGAACTTGCTTTGTTGGAAATTCCTCGCTGGTTTATTGGTCAACGAAAATCCAATGACCTCATCTGCACATGTGAATTTACTACAGTACTCCTTGTTGGTGTTGTCGGGCCACGTGCGCACCCACAAGTTTGCACACACATGCTGCCACGCGGTCAACGTGCAGTAATATCCTGGAAAGAGTTCCTCAAGTCGTGCAGAACGACAAAACGCGTTTTGCACTAATGAGTACCGACTGTATCTTCTTGTACGACGGTGGCAGTTCGTTTGCTTGTTTGTTTGTGCCCATATTTTAAGGAAATCTTATGCTCTACTTTGTAAGATCAGGCAGTACATTGCATAGCAATCTGCATAAGATTATGGAACTTGCTGATTTTACGTAGCTGATGAGCAAAGCTGCTGCTTCCACAAAAACAGCCTAACTACAACTGCAATTCAGACTAAAGAAGAACATGGCTATGGTTCAAATCATCAAACCATCAAATCGTGAAGATATTGTTAGAGGGCCCTACGACAGCAAGGGCCCTCGATGACCTTTGACTTGGCAGGTCGGCACCTAACAACTGAGTCTACTCGGCACCGACGCACGAGTTCGGTGGCGGTCATTAGCGACTACGGGTGACTGTGAGCTACTGCAGCGAACTCGGCGGAATCGGTGCTAGGAATGACGAGTCTTGGGGGTTGTAGGTGCCTTGCTTGTGAGGCATGCTGCTCACTTGCTGTGTTGGCAGGAGTAGCGTGCACGGTGAGACATTCCGGTGCCGAGTTGGGTTGGAAATGTGCGGGGCGCGTTCACCCACCTGCACAGCACTTTCGTGTGGGTTGGGTTACTCGCAGCGCCACGCAACAATTGTGAAACTCTTGCTTGCTTATATATGTTTGTGTTTGCTTGTGTGTTATAGAGTTGATATTGCAATTCTACTTGGCCCAAATGCTACTTCAATTCTCACAAAGTCCTTAGAGGCAAACACTACCAAAACTCTACCAAGTTGCTGGCGCAACATCATTCCCATAGCAGAGACTCTCTCGCTATCGATACGCTCTCTAATATATTCCTTCATGGTGCGGTGAGCGTGGAATGAACACGCATAGATTTCCGTCGTCGTTGATATTCGCGTTCGTATACTCGCCTTGGCGTGCGGCGTTAGTGAAGGGCGCTTATTAATCTAAGTTGAACCTCTCTTGATTTTCCTCCAGTTATGTTCTCGGACCCAAGGATAGGGCGTTTGGTAATTTATTACCACTCGTCTGAGGACCCTTGTGAGGTGACCCCGAGACGAGGGATTTAAGGAAGGGGCACTTTATTTTAATTTGTGGTACCTTATAGAGACGTCGTAGAGGATGAGTACAGAGGAGGCGAACGTGGAGGCCGGTAATTTGCGCGCCCTAGAGGAGGATCTCGTGGCTCGTCATTCTCGTGGTGAGATTAGTGATATCGAATACGAGCTAATGTTGGAGGGATTGCGCTCGCGTCGGTGTCGTGAGCACCCTTCGCCACGTGTAGAGAATGTTGAGCAAGTTGCGGGAGGTACTAGTGCGTGGGATATGGCTGTCGATGGCGGAAACAGCGATGACGAGGAGTTTTGTGAAATAAGTGAACAGAGATGTGTGAACTATGAATGAAGGCAGTACAAATATGAAACCCTAACTGGGTTGTACCCCCTATGGGATACCCCACTACAGCCTACACAATAGTATAAGCTATAGATATGTTCTGACACACCCCCATAGGCAAAGTGGGGGAGAACAAGGGGTCACAAGACCAGTCAAGCAAAGTAAAGCAAAGCAAGCTCGGGGTGGATCACAAAGTCACCACACGGTCCGAGTACAAGAGC